TCTGTCTGTCTGTCTGTCTGTCTGTCTGTCTGTCTGTCTGTCTGTCTGTCTGTCTTACTTTTTCTCAACACTTAAATGACCATTATTGTGTCGATGTGCTTCTCTTTACTCAAACAAACAAACAGACAACCGCACAAATAAGGATGTACACAGCTCCAGGCGCTCAACTAAAGCACACGTTATGTAGACACGGTGGTGGTCTGTGGCCCACGTTTCAGCTGTTGTGTGGTAGTGGTTGGCGGGTGCTCTGGTGTGGTCTGCTCCTTCTTTCCTATCAAACATGTGTCGTCCTGATCTCTCCTCCTTCTTTTGGGGGTTTGCAACTCTCTTGTAACACCTCTAATCTTCAGCACTTATATGACCTTATTGTGTTGCAAGTGCCGTAAAACTCTTATTAAAACTAAGATTGCTGTTCCCGGTGTGTGTTGGAAGTCCCCGGGATGTTTTTGGGGATGTTGGAAATAAATTCTGTGATGAGGACCTGCCTGTCTGTGTTATTGACGGACTCCTGGACTGAGGGCGTCTGCGACTTGTTGAAGCAACTCTTCTTTCCTCTCCGGCATTGACAGTCTCGTTTCTGTCGGCCCTGTTCTCTAAATAATAATAATAATAAATGACATTTATATAGCGCTCAACCCCGAATAAAGTACACAGGCTCTGCTGAGCGCTTTACAATACAGTACAACATACAACAGTAACGTAAAACGTTGTGTTCTGACTAAAGAAAATTATTCCAAATATTCATCTTATTAATTTAGAAACAGAAACGATTTCTTCTGACATTTGAATGAATCCAAAGATCTGATCTCTCTTGAAGCCTCGTTTGCTGTCGTGAGCTTGGGAAGGGTTCTCATAGATAATTATATGTGTCATGACGCGGTGGAATCAGGCGCTCGTCAGTTTTGGGTATGTGGGATTATTGGTATCATCTGAAAGCTGATTTATTTGCCTTGCTTCCAATGAAATAAATATCCATTTATCCTGAATAGAATTCAAAATATTTACAATTGAAGAAAGTGAGGTGGCCTGGTTACTGTTATTGTCCTTTTCCCAGCAGATGAACTAAACAAAGGAATTGATACATTGTCATTTCATGAACGTTTTATACTGGGGGAGGGCAGGTTTGTTGGGAGGGGGGGGGGCTGGCAGGTACTTCTTCTTTTCTCTTTCTCTGATGTCTGTCTGTCTGTCTGTCTGTCTGTCTTCTTTTCTCCCTGCGCTAAATGGTCATT